TTGCTCAGGAATGCTACAAACATTGTTTTATCTATTTTGTGTGGCTCTCAAAGCTGCATGAAACTGTCATTTCCCTATCCTGATTTCATGGTTGCTATTTATCTGCTTAACTGGACCCTACTTTCAATCTCATGAGTTTTGTTGTGCTTTCCTTTCAGAGGGTATTCCTTCCATAGGAATGTCTCCATTTTCATGTGGATGGTCAACCCGTGAAAGAAATGTCAGTAGCTTGATTACACTTAAGCTTTGGTCCTGAAGTTATTTAACGGTCCATTTCCTTTTTATTAATTATTTGGGCGAGTAACTAATTTTCTTTTTCTAACTTACGTTTCCTGTTTCTGCAGATAGCTTCAGCTGATTTGTCTGCAGTGGCTAAGGCTATTGAATCTGGTTTAGTACCTGTAAGTTGTATTCTTTAATTGACAATGATAATTTCAAGGCTCAGTATTACTACCATTCATCCTGTCGTTTCTATTTTCCTGTTTTGAACTTTTTTTAAACAGAAATATTGCCTGGTTGGCATTAAGAATACAAATAGTTTGATTGGATATGTTTTGTGTTATGTTTGATGTATGCTTAATGTTGGTTTCTACTTTTCTTCTCTTATGTTTGCTTGTTACTAATCTTGATTGTTACATGTTTCCCAGGTTTTGCATGGAGATGCCGTGCTCGATGACTTACTGGTTTGGTCTCTCTTACAGAATTGCACTAGCATATTGCTTATAATTAACTTGTACTGATACCTTGTTAATGGATTCTCCTAATCAGGACTGTACCATCTTGAGTGGAGATGTCATCATCAGTCATCTTGCAGCCCACTTGAAGCCTGAATACGTTGTTTTTCTCGTATCCACGGTGTCTGAATGGAAATTTTTCATGCATTTATTTTTTGGGAATTGACATCTGAATACAGTCCATAACTTGATAGTTGATATAGACGTCTTAGGAGTTAAATCAGCCTAAAAGAATATTTTTCTGGTGAAATTTTATCTCGAACTGTTCTAGTAAGTTGTAAATTATCATCTGATACGAGTGGATAAATGTTTGTTTTCATATTAATGTGGACTTAAGACTGATGTTTCGGGAGTTTATGATCGTCCACCATCAGATCCAAATGCAGTACTCTTGAGAGAAATTGGTAAGGAATGGATTTGTGCATGAATGAAATTTTGTGTTGATTTGTCAAATTGCGATGGCTCATCCAAAGTTTCAACTGCAGCTGTGGCTAAAGATGGGAGCTGGTCGATCGAGAAGCCAACATTTCAGAACAAGAACAAGCAAGGTGAGCAAGATTGCTGCAGTTTTAACATCACAATAACTGAAGGGGTCCTTTGTAGCAGTATTTGTCTAAATGGTGCACATATTGATGGTGGTTGTCATGTCAACAGTTGAAACAAGTGTAGCAGCCCATGATACAACCGGTGGAATGCTGACCAAGATATCTGAAGCTGCAGCGATTGCGAAACTCGGAATTGATGTATATATTGTAAAGGTAAATATTTAAACCCCCCCTCAATTTCCACCCCTTCCACTTCTACTACGTGTAACCTGAGATATTTACCTGGGTACAGGCAGCTACAAGCCATGCATTGAAAGCCTTTAGTGGAGAATTGAAGGACAACCTTCCTGATGACTGGCTTGGAACCGCGATCCGGTTTTCCAATAAATGAATTACGATCGATTTAACAGAGGAGGCAGAGATATGGAGAGGGGGAGCAACGAAATGGGAATACGGAAGTTTTTCTCCTCACAGAGGTTTTGAAAGTCAGCATTTGGAAAAGACCAATAAAGGCATTTGGAGAAGACGTAAACAAACAGGATGAATTGTCACAACACAAGAAGATCAGAAAACTGATTGTTAGAAAATTATCAGGTTCTACAACAGGCATGAAACTCATTGTTTATGTGAGAAAATATGTACGGATAGAAAACGCATTATTGTTGTTAATAACATACGGTTAACAACTATGGCTCTATAGTCATTTAGCCAACTCTCAAACAACTGGACTAGCATCTGAATCAGAGAGTTGAACACCGCACTTGGCGTTGTGCCGTATATGATCAAAGAGCAAACAAACGGCCCGAGTCATAACCAAGCGACGAATAATAAAGTACCCACCATAGTTCAATTTTCCAGTGTTGAATTTGGGGAAATTGGATAGCACACGACAGAAAAAACCTTGAACGTTACCAAAGGCAAGCGAGAGAGCAAGAACATATTCGACTTCGAAGTTGATACACTGGTTTATCATAAAGACCCGAAATATTAAAAGTAACAATTCATGCGAAACCAATAGAACAAGGTGAAAAAAAATCCAGAACGAAATGACCCAGTGCGGGCAAAAACCAAACCATGAAATTGCAAGTCTAAAACAAGTAAAGGTACTATACAGTCTCCAATATAACTCACCAATACCATGAAATTGGGCATGGTTCTTCAGACAGTAAACAGAACAAAAATATTGATAATGACAAGCTAATTAATGGCAACATCCACTTATAAGCCAAGGCCACCTCTAAACAAGAAAAGCTCCTGAATAGTGACCCCCAAACATACTATTAACCGTCCCAGTTTCAATTTGAAAACTAAAAGTGCTCCGGAAGAACCATAGCGGGACTATTTTGGACCAATGTCCTTGAGAGCACAAATCTGCTCCTCTCCCATAGCAGACATGACAGAAACAACCAGATCCTTCCCCTCACCAAAGCCATCCTTGATCTGCATCACATCCCAGGAAATACAATACCAATTAAGACAATAAACAACAGGAAACTGAATTAGAAAGGAAGCTTATAAAAGAAAGGGAGAGTTTTTTTTAATAGATATTGGTGCTCTACTTGCCCAAAAATGTGTGAACATAATAATGACCACATGCAGATACATTATTAAGTCCACACTACACGAGAAATTCAATAAACCACTACATAAATATCTCATACCGCACATAGTCCATATTACAAAATCACTAACCTGCGTAAGCAGACTGTCATCGGTTGGAAGCCTCAGGTCATCCTTGGTGTTACCATTCTCAGTCAGCAGACTCACCTTTAGCACGCAGCAGAAAAATGATGAAGTCAGGTTAAACCCTTATAACATAGCACGAGTATCTATAAGCAACAACTAGAAAGCATTTTTATTTATAAGAACTATGGAAAGTGTGAACTTACAAATCCATCCTCAGAGATATCAATCAGCTGGTAGTCAGTACGGTTGACATGGGGAACCTATGACACAAACATAAAGACAATGATATACCCAAAAAAAAAAAAAACACAAGATATTCTTGAATGTTTAGACAAAATATTAAAGAGGTTCGTACATCACAATTGTGGGAAGACGGAACAATATCCTCAAGCTTCTTGGCAGTGAAGATATCAATACCAACAAAGTGACACTTGGCATGTCCGTGCTTTCCAGTCTTGGAAGTGGAAACCTCCACAACCTGTTACAAAAAAGAGAAAAAAAGAAAGCAAACCAACAAACACTCCACTAGTTAGGTGCGCATCTATGTTCACAAATTTGCAAGTATGACAGAGAGGAGGAACTGCATATAATAAGCAATTTCACAAATAAATTCTCAGCAAGGCCACAGACAGCTACGAGAAAATAGCAGAAAGTTAACATCTTATTCAGATAGAGCTGTGAATTGATATGCATATGTATACATAAAGAGGTTCGAAGCATCCACATCACGAACCCATAATTAAATTTTTTCAGCTTACAAAACTCACAATTAATTTCAGTCACATGCAGATAGTTATTATTAGAACGGTAAATCTGAATCATAAAGTGTGGAACGACCTCACATTAACTACATCAAAATTACAGAATTTCATACACGATCGATCAGCTAAACACTACCTAATCTGTCGGAAAAAAGAAAATCGAAAACAAAAAAAATCCTAAAATTAAATCCAAGAAAAATCAAATCCGATCTCGATGAATCCATTCCACAGATTGATTAGAAGAACAACTAGCTTGATCATGCCCAATTATACCAGATCATAACTACGAATAGAAAGAAAACTCTACAGAACGAAAAGCCTAACAAACAGAAGATCTATAAGCAAAGTCCTAAACGACATTACCTTGCAGGGCCTGCCCTTGATGACAATGTAACCGTTCTTGCGGATAGTGCCAGCTTGCTGAGGATAGGTCTTGGAAGCTCCGGCGTCAGCCTTGGATTCGAAGTGATGCTCCTCGTCCGACATGGCTGGTTCTGAGCGCTGAGAGAGACAGAGAAGGAGTGAAGAGAGGATCAAGGGAGAGACGAGAAGCGGAAGAGAGGGATTTGGGAAAGTGGGTATTTATATTATAGGAAGGGTTGATTATTAAGGAAATTGGAAGAGAGGAAAGAGCACTCTAGGGTTTCTGGATCAAGCAATTTTATTATATTCTTTGGGTTATGGAAAGGGAGTGAGGGTCGCTGTCCACCGTTGGATTGCTTGACTCTTCACGGACGGATCTGATTAGAATATCGTTAGTTAGCGTTAAGTTGACGCTCGAATGGTAAATGGGCACGTGGGCTGCTAATCCATAAAGAAACTGTACATTCAGATATTTTTTATGCAATATGCAGCACAATTTCTATTTTCGATTTTTTTTTCTATTTTCGTTCTTCTTTTCTTTTGGGCTCTCCTAATCATGGGCTATGCAGTAGTGAAACTAAAAAATAAGCCCGTTTATGGTGTAGTTTCATTGCTTCCCTTTCGAGTTATCAAAAATAAAAAAAAATAAAAAAATTCCATACTTTCTTGACTTCAATAAACATAATTCTTATTGAATTCACAACATAAATGAACTTATGAATACCATAATCAATTTACAGGAAGTAATTTTGCTCAGCTCAAGCTAAATAAGCAAGGAGCTTGTAACTTAAATGATTAAGAGCAATTACTCCTGCGTTCAAGGTCTTATGTTCAAATGTCTTCTCCCCAATATCGCTTGTATATAAAAAATAAAAAGAACTTGAGTCAAATGGCTTCACAGATTTTCAGGCTTATGTGGAAGGTTCACATTAATACAAACAAATAAACAAGCATGCTTCATACAACCAGTAGAGCAAAACTCATGGAAGTAGTTTCTGTCTAGAAGAACGTTACAAAAGTTAACACCATTCTACAACAGGTGCAATTCCTAAAATTCTAGATTTTGCAGCTGACTATTCATCCAATTTCGGTGGGTACAGCATTTCCTCCATGTTCAGGAAGGGCAACACTTAATATACAAGGACGCCACGAGCATCATAACTTTACACATGATCCTGAAAATTGGGCAAATTTCGAGTACATTTAGTTAGTCCAAAGGCTTTGATTCCGTAGTCCAAGATATCAGAAGTGAGTTTGGCTCATCCTAGATTAAACACCAGCATCCAACCTATTGAGTACCTGTAGATCTTTACCTTCATCTGACTCTGTACAATTATCTTCTGCTTGAACTTCCAACAGATACAGATCTCATGTTGTCATTGTCAACTTCATGTATGAATACCAAAGGAGGCTCTTCTCTGACAAATGGAATCACACTTGAGAAATATAGAACGCTGACAGTAATAAAGGACACAGAAAAAGTGAATCACAGTACAAAATTTACTAACATTTCATTAGCTTCTTGATATGTGTAGCTTGATGCAACAGCCAGAAGTTGTCCCCTGTGATTGTACGATAAGGATGCCACACTGTTTGGGTATCTAGGCAACTGAAAATATGTAGAGGTTACAGAAGCTAATAGAAAATAGTAAGACCTGAGCACACTTCAACAATTAAATCAACTATGTCAAGCAATTAAGGCAAAATACATTCACTTTGATTGGAGAATAAGCAAAATCCACGAAAATTTATTGAAAAATACCTGAAACAGCCTCCTTTTGCTTGTAGCATCCCATGCAGTAACATAACCCTCATTGTCACCAGTAACAAAGGCACCGTAGATGCTAGATCATACACATCAAATAAAAAGTAAGTTTTCATTATGGAAGTTGGTTAAAGCTGATAGAGTTACACATACATCGGATTGAATACAATGTCATTCACCGACACCAGATGATATTTGCTGTCAGTTGACTTTGGATGACACCGGAACATATATCTGAGACAAATGTTAGAGCATCTGTGAGAAAATTCATGACAAAGTGTGACTCAAGCCCAAAAGAATAAATATTGCATATCATGGCAGGCTTGGGCATGCTAATAATAACATAGACTCTGAGAATTGACCTGATGTCATCTGAATTCGATGGGCAGGAAATCTCCAATGCTACACGTCCATCTACTGAGCCAACTGCAAAACCTGCAAAGACAATTCAAAGACTTTTATAAAATACAAGTTGTGATTTGTAATGCTAAATCAACAAGTGGACATAGAGTCAATATAAAGTATTTAATTCAAGCAAACATTTGGTAGGATGTTCTAATGAGCTACTGCTACGCGAAGTATTGTGATAGTACCTTTAGCATACGGAATTGAACTAACGCATACAATCTGAACACCCATATGCGAATCTTTTGATTGAAATGGTTTTTCTAGCCTGCGCAAATCATATACATATATTGATGCTCCAACAGCTACCATCATATCAAAGCCTGAGAGTGACATGGACATCACCTCTGAATCCATATTTCTTACACATGCAATACCCTTCGGCGTACGTGTGTCCCATGACAATATCTTCTTATCCAAACCAGCAGTGATTACTTGGCCTACAACAATTTTAAGAGAAAACTTGATAACAATTATGTTCAGTACTATACAGAATAAGCTAGAAATGCAGTTATGGTAATCCCGAGCTTTATGAAATTTTATGCAAAAGATTTTTATACAAATACTATCAAAACTTTCATTATCCTTGTTAATTCTATCACCTAACAAAAAGGTAAATTCACTTTTTCCCTAGCATCTACAGAAAATTTGAAAACAGAAACCAACACTTGTGTAAAGTTTAAGGGCTATATTTAGAAGGTAAATAAGAATCCAATAACAATGAGAATGAAATAGTACTGGTAGCTTACAGGTTTCATCAGAATATCCAACACATGTTGATGTGTCATCATGATTTCCAATTGAATCATGAATTCCAGAATGCAAGTCATACCTTGAACACATGAAACACAAAATCCCAGAAAATTCAAATGTTAGAAGAAAACATAAGAAACTCAGAACAGTCCCAGACATTAGAACCAGCTTAAGATTAAATGCCTCTCAGAAAATTACTATTACCCCTTAATTAAAACTGCAAATTACAACATTAAGGATGTGATTAAAGTTCATTTCAATCGCATACCTTCTAATGAAGCCATCAGAGCCAGCGCTAAAAGCGACGGACTCGTTTTGGAAGCAACAATCGAGGAGCGCAGCTTCCGACGAAGCTTCTAACCTGAGTGCCGAGTTTCCGACGTCGTACAATCTCAGGCTCTGCACAAAGAAACGACTTTTATTATTGAAAAGCCAAAAGTGCTATGAACTCCACATTGTTGAGCCCAAAAGTATAGTACCACTCACAGAGTCCCAAGAAGAGATGAGGAGGTTGTCTGATTTCGGAGCGAACCGAATTCTGGAAATTGCATCTCGGATCGGGTTTTCGAACTTCAAGGCAGCTCCGCTCATTTTGGTGCACTTACAGACCGAACTTACTCAACGCATCGAAACAGAGAACGAACATGGAATTGGGGACAGAAAGCTCAGTAATTTCTTCAGAATTAATGAGAAAGGGAGACGATTAGCCTCTTTAGGTTCCAGAAAACCCTAGAACTTGGCCAGTGAAGATTTGGGAGGGAGAGAGAACCTGAAAAGTTCCCGCTCAATGAGGAATAATTATCTGCTGAATTTAAATTGAGGCCATATTAGTACTTAATGATTTAATAGAGATTTAGTGATGAGCTTAACAACAAGTGGATCCGTGGCGCAATGGTAGCGCGTCTGACTCCAGATCAGAAGGTTGCGTGTTCGATTCACGTCGGGTTCAATCCCCGCTTGTTTTCCTTTTTTTTGTTGTTATTATTATTTCTGGAGTTTTTTTGTTTGTTTTTATTTTCTTTTTGGAGATAGATCATGATTGATGGACCAATAATTTTTTTTTTGTTTACATTGATGGACCAATATCAACGTGGTATTAATGAGTTTTGTTTTTGCTTAAATAGGGCAAAAAGTCACTTTTGGTCCCTGTGGTTTACCACTTTTACTACCAAGGTCTTCGTAGTTTCAATTTCGTCACTTTTGTCCGTGTGGTTTCAATTTGATGTAATTTAAGAACAATTCCCAAATTCTGATACTTATTGAGGGGCATTTCGGTCCAAACTTGCAGCCCCTCCCCAACCACCTCCACCGCCACTAGCCCTCCAAAAACTCCTCCCTGTTGTAAACATTTACAATCCACTGTCTCAACTAACAACAAACAATGCTCCTTGGAGGTGTACAAAGAGAGGTACCATTATACAACCTTCATTAATAATTTTTTTATAGAGATTATGTTGAATTAGCACAAGGTGTAGTAAGAGCTGCAATTGATGATGCTATTGTAATCCAAGGCTACTTTTATGAAACTTACAAAAGACCGAAGTAAACTTGCTTCGGCTACCTTGTTTTTCTTTTTTGGCTGGAGATTACCTTCATCCCTTATGAAGAAATGAGATGGATTATGATTATAATTGTGAGTTTTTATTTGGGTTTAGAAAAAAAAA